TTGTTACTCAATATGGATTTAGACCACCTTTGGCATCCAAGATGGCCTGAATTCTTCAGGGAGTTGCCAAATATAAGTCTTGGATTGTGGATAATAAAATCTGATACCACTCTTCATAGAAAAATAGTTCCAGTTTTCGCTGCAATGCTGGAGATGGAAAATGAGCCCTAACCTTGTTCTCAAAAAGTGACCATAGTGACTCCATGATATTGAGGTCCAGCAAACTGTGGAGAACAGGGAAGGTGCAAGACTTCATTGGCATGCTTGTCAAACCATGATTTGACAACACAGCTGTGTGAATCAGAGCACTATCATCTTGGTAAATGGCGCTGTCTTCGGGAAACAATGTCTACACCATGGGGTGCACATGGTCGGCCACAATTTGTACATAGTCGCTGGCATTGGCTCTACCTTTCAAAGTGATGATGAGGCCTACAGGGTACAAAGATACAGCTGCATTGCCACCATGCTTCAACATTAGCATAAGACAGTCCAGGTCATAAACCTGGGACGGTGTTCACCACGCATAAACATGTCCAGTGGTTGGGAATAGTGTGAAACTCAATTCATCGGACCATATTGCAGTCTCCCATTGATCGATAGTCCATGATTTCTAGGTGTTGCACCACTTTCTCCTCTTCTGAACATTATTAGTTCCCTCCACACAGTTTTTGTGGACACAAGCTTTGGAAGACTGAGATTGAGCTTTGTAATCACTTTTGCAGCAGTGGTTTTCTTATTCTGGGTCACAATCCTGCACAATGTCCTTTTGTCTCTTTTGGTCAGTTGACCATGTTGACCACACTTATGCCTATCAAACGATGTTTTCCCCGGTACTGTATAACCTTTGATACTGTACCTCGTGACACCACAAATAAATTGGCAACTTCAGTCACAGAGGCACCAGCTAAGCTGGCACTAACAATTTGCCCTCTTTGAAACTCAGTAACCTCTTACATGACTCTGTATTACTAACAGTGCACGCAGTGAATGGTGAAAGTGAGGCTTCCCACTTGTTAGCTAGGTGTCTCATTACACAGCACAAGCAAAAGAATGTTACATCACTTCCATTTTCAACATGAAACATGGCGTCACTTTCACACCTGCAAATAATGTAGTGTTTCCATATTTTTGTCCAACCCTTGCATGTGTATATATGGGGTACTGTAAGCACACATCTTATAAGGTTGTTATGATCTTCAGCCTCTAGGATAAACTAGGAGATGCAAAATACACTGTAAAGAAAATGGGTTGGGGTTATTTTGACAACAAGGCCCTGCTCTTTTCCCCCTTGCTCACTTGCCATGGGGATTCCAGTCTGCATGCTTGGATGTGCAGTTTGAAGGGAAGATCACCTTGCTTCTTTATTTAACCTCCCTGGCGGTATGATTATTTCCGATTTTTGGTGCTGAAAGCGGTACCATTTTTTTTCATGGAAATATGTAGTTTTTTATTGTAGGCTGTAATTTTTAGGAATAACTCACTGAAATCTGTCCGAACAAGTGTCTAGTAAACATTCCGGATATGATAAAACTTGAAACACGACATCATAAATTATAGTTTAATTAATAATCATAAAAAATAATAATATAATAACAATAAATTTAATTCAATAATATAATCAAACCAAAAACACTGAAATTTGAAATACAGAGGCAAATTCGCACATCGCTGAGCAAAGTCGCAAAATCGTTTTCAGTGTCTGATGACGAATTTCCCCACAAATCATTATCACTCAATTCTGCAAGTGGTTCTGATTTACTATCGCTGTTCTCTAGGTGGTCTAAAACCGCTTTTGACATAAAGGGACGCTTTTTGGACGCCATGGACTTTTCTACGTTTCCAGGCAGAAAGAACAGTCAAAATGTAGGCAGGGCACAGGACAAAGCAGTAGGGACAAAATGTATGTGAAATGCATTGAAACAGCAATGTTTTACTATATAATAATCATTTTTTAAAAAATGACTTTTTTTTTTTAAATTTCAAATTTGCCGCCCGTTCCGGCGCCCGTATGTCCCGACGTCACAGGGACCGGAACACGGAAGCCGGATGCCGGCATCGGCCGGAGGAGATGGCCGGGGACGCTGCAGGGGACACATCGCGGGAGCGAAGGACAAGGTAAGCGCTGCAGGGACTCCCTGAGCAACGCCACATGGTAAGCCCGAGTGTAGCTCGGGGTTACCGCTCTTGGTACTGAAATTTTACCCCGAGCTACACTCGGGAATACCGCCAGGGAGGTTAAAGAAGATTTTTTTGAATGCTTGCAGTGCTCCTGAAAATTAGGCCCAATAACATCACACTGGGGTAGATTTTCTAAAACTGGTGCACTCAGAATCTTGTGCAGCTGCGCATGACAGCCAATCAGCTTCTAATTTCAGGTTGTTCAATTAAGGTTTTGCCAATAAAACCTGGAACCTGACTGGTTTCTATGCAGAGTTGCACCAGATTTTGCACTTGCCAGTTTTAGTATATAACCCCCACTGTGACAAGCCAACAACATTATTTGGATTGTGGAACATGATCGCAGGGATTTTTATGACTAAAAATATGTTTTCTGGTCCCCTGAGTCTCAATTTCTATGTATAACCATGATGGTAAGTACAACCAGTGGCATAGAGCTCCATTCACTAAAGTAGATTGCATGTGGCATTTAGGTGATCTGACACATTTTTCCAAATATAACATGTGATACTAAAAATGTCAATTCACTGTTACCTTATGCAGTATTAACCTCAAAAAACAAAAATGCTTGGTAAATGCCACATAAAATGGTGTTAAAGCCAATTCACTAAATTAAATAAATAAATGTGTTAAATCATAGTGGTCCAGGAAAGCAGCGTTTGAGGAATGTAAATATATAATAGTCAATTTGGAGTAGTCTTTACCTTTTTGGATCAGTAGCCTCTCAACGTAATGCATAGAAGGCAAAATATGGATAACATTGTTACATTTAGTGAAATATATTTATTTTCTCCTTTTCATAGACTTTTTTGTGTACATACAAGCATATATATTGTTTGCTGCATAAACCTCCCAATCACTCCAATGATAATACAATGTCCATGCATATCTAATCGCTTGTTAGAACATACTGTATGTCTTATGTGGTGAGGATACTTTAGTTTTTCTCAATTATTTTTAGAGATATCTTTGTCCCAAATATTCACAAGACAGAATGGGATTAGAAATAGATAAACATTCTTACAAAGGTGTGAAACTTGAGCTGTTAGGAGAGGGGTGTCATCAGTTTGAAGGTTTTAAATATGGATACCAGAGTGAGACTTTGAAAAATATCAGAGAATGACAATGGGGGAGATTTACTAAAACTGGAGCACAGAGAATCTGGCGCAGCTGTGCATAGTAACCAATCAGCTACTAGGTGTTATTGTCAACGCTTCATTAAACAAGCTGAATTTAGAAGCTGATCAGTTACTATGAACCAGATTCTCTGGGCTCCAGTTTTAGTAAATCTCCCCCTATAACAATTCTCTAGCAAGACAAAAAAAACTTGTCCAAATATATAGCAATGAATTTGTCAAATATCACAGAAAAAAAATACTTTACAGTGTAACTAAAGGCAAAACATTTTCTTCATTTTGGATAGAATAAGGGATGGTTAGAACCCCCATCAGTTTTTTTTTTTCCATCTGTGTCCCACTGGGGGGATTTCCCCTTTGTTAGTGTTCTGATGTCAACCCAAAATGTGGGAATTTGTTCCCCTTTCACCTTCAATGCGAAACAGTAGAAATAAAGTGAATTTCCCTAACAGGGGCACAGACAGCAATAGCAACTAAAAAGTGTTCTAATACCTCACCGCTGTATCCATCCCAGTTGATATGACGTCATGCGATAAAATAACGATTGGTTTCATGAGTTAAGTATTGCACATTTCAATGAAATAATGCATGCCTTATTTTATGAACTTTTTTAGTGAATTGCAAAAAAAAAATTTGAAAAACAGTAAGGGCACAATTCACTAAGCGGTATCTTACCGCATCCAAGTATGCATTAGGATACCGCACAGCATTTTTTTTTTTAAAAGTTTGAATTCACTAAAAAACCCTAATACAATACGGCATGAGTTATCTTATCAAGTTATGCTGTAATTTAGTAGTGAAAACCATGCGTTAATGTTGCAGCTGTCAGCGAGGTTTCCTGCTGACAGCTGAATGTAAAAGAAAGAATTGCAGGCAATTAAAAAATGGCATGGGGTCCCCCCCCTCCATCCATACCAAGTCCTTCGGGTCTGGTATGGATATTGAGGGGAACCCCCACACACCAAATTTTTTTTAAAAAGGCGTGGGAGTCCACCCCAAATCCATACCAGACCCTTATCCGAGCATGCAGCCCGGCAGGTCAGGAAAGGTGAGGGACGAGCGAGCACCCTCCCCCTTCAGAACCATACCAGGCCACATGCCTTCAACATGGGGGGTGGTGCTTTGGGGCAGGGGGTTTCCCCCCCCAAGTACTTTGTCCCCATGTTGATGGGGTCAAGGGCCTCTTCTTCACAACCTTGGCTGGTGGTTGTGGGGGTCTGCGGGTGGGAGACTTTTCGGAATATGGAAGCCCCCTTCAGCAAGTGGACCCCCAGATCCCGCCCCCCCCATGTGAATGAGTATGGGGTACATGGTAAAGAAGGAAACTAAAAGAATGTAATTGTAGTGCTAACTATGACAGCTCTCACTGACTAACATAGGATTTCACATGTCATGCGACTTGGGGTCTCACAAGTCGGATCCCAAGTCGCAGTAGTGAGAACCGAGCCTAAGAGGTATTTTAATGCGGAGTGGTAGATACTACTTAGTGAATGGAGCCCATAATGTTTTAAGGATAAGCACAGAATCTGTAGAAGAGATCATACACCCACCAGACTTGGGTAGTTGTATTTTGCTGATGATGTTAGCATGGTTAGACTATACGGGATGCCACAAAACCATCACAGAAACACTGCAACGTGTTTACTCTTTAATCATGGGTTAAAGAGTAACTCCACTTTTATTAACCACTTCCCGTCCGGCCCATGTACATAAACGGCTGGACGGGAGCAGTGCAGGAGTGGGTTGCCGTCCATAAACGGTGCCCGCATTTTCAAGCTGTTCGTACTCCCTGGGAGCACTGATTGTTGTACGGAACCTGTGTGAGGTCCCGATCATGTGATCACTGATTAGCCAATCAGTGATCACATGAATAGTAGTAACAAGATGTCACTTCTGACATCATTGCTTACTACTAGTGAAATCTGTGAATGATCACAGAGGTCACATGGTACAAGGCTATTCACAACAGCCTTGTACCATGTGACAAGCTATGACCAATCACAGCTCTCACAGTATTTCTCAATGGCTGCAAGAATGCAGCCAGCGAGAAGGAGAAATTATTGATTTTACAGCCTTTATGGGTGTAAAAGCAATCAGTGTAATAAAAAAAAAAAATCTTCATCACCCTCACAAGTAGTACAGTGTCACAATGGTGACATTGTACTGCTAAGGTGACAGTATGTTAAAAAAATATATATATAATAATATAAACATGTAAAAAAAATTTTTTTTTTAAATTGTTGACTTTTTCATTTATATAGCAAAAAAATTAAAATTCCAGTAGTGAATAAATACCACCAAAAAAAAAAGTTTTAACTATCAAAAAATGCTAAAAAATTTATATGGGTACAGTGTTGCATGACCGCACAATTGTTATTCAAAGTGTGATAGCGCTGAAAGCTGAAAATGGGCCTGTACAGGAAGGGGGTAAAAGTGTCTGGACTTGAAGTGGTTAAGAAAAAGACATTCCTCTCTGGGGGATGTACATTGTAGGGCTTTTAACAAAGTTTGTTTCAGAATTTAACTTTTTTCTGCTCTGAAGGAAAAGCTGTTTGTTGTCTCCAGAGGAAATGTGGATGTGAAAGACTTTTTCATAAGGAAAATGCAGGGTCTGCATCCCTTTAGACATTATTAACCCTTGGAAGTATCTCACAAAAATGCCATTTTTGTTGATGATGCCTAAAATCTGACTTGTGCAGAAAATAAGATAGGCAACCACACAATCGGGAAATTACATTTCTGGAGGTGTTCTCCAATGGTATACAAAACGTCTCCAAGTTGCCATATTTTGATGAAGTTTAACATAAAATTACAATGCTACAGTTTGAAAACAAAAGGTAATTTCAATTACAGAATGGGCTTGTGTAGCAATTGTATATGGTATTTATTTATTCATTTATTTATTCATTTTATTATCCACACAAAAGCAGCATTACCCTTTAACTGTTATCAGCACCAAAGTAGTTTAAACATGACATAGCACATGAGATACTAGTTGTCTTTTACACCAAGTAGATATTCAATTGTTAATTTCTTTAAAGAAAAATCCCCTATGATGCAATAGGCTTGGTGACTTGAAGTAAAATTTTTTCAGTAATTTGGGTAGTGATGACTTCACTTAAAACCTTATGAGGTCTGACAGTTGAAGTCATCTGAGTACATGACTTGTTCATGTGACTACTGCACCACCAACCACGTTTCTATAGCATAAATAAACATAGATGTCAGAATTATTTATAAAGAATAAAATGTGTGTCCTATTTACATATTTGTTTACATGAACTAAAAATTGCCTATAGAAGGACCTTTATGATACTAATATGCACAAGTCTGCCTTTAAGTGCATCTTGTCAAAAATATCAATGTATACAGCATTATTTGTATATTATGATACAATTACCTTCACAGACTCAAATGGTGTCGCTTAGGCTTAGTTTACAATAGTGGCAGCATTTGCCGCCCCTCTGAAAAGCAATCCACGATGGATCATTTTTTCAGGGGCATTTGACAGGTGGCAATGAGGCAATATGTCACCTTCTCATTGTTTTAACCCTGTAAATGCTGCACCACAACCTTATAAGGTTACACAACAGTTGCAAGGTCATGGTGGCCCCATTTACTTGTGTCGGCCCTGTTCAGGGGGGATCATTTTTGCTGCAGCTGTGAAATAAATTATCGTGATCACAGCATATCGCAGCATCGCATAAAACTTGACATGAAAATGCGACTTCCACATGTATTTGCAAATGTATAAAATTAAAACCTTTGTTTTGCCTGAGTAGTTAAGCAGGTTAGTTTGTTGGTGACTTCTTTCATACTGTTTTGTACATTGTCCTGCCCTTGTACACCTTTCTGTTTTTATTAGTCTTAAACAGATCAGTTTTTTTTTTATTTGGTGCAGACACACACTGATTTGGTGCAGACACACACTGATTTGGTGCAGACACACACTTTAAATTGGAAATAAACCTACAAAAAAATTGTGAACAGGGTGGGCAAAGGTGCAACAAGTGGAGCAACTACAAGTGATGGGACATGGGGAATGGATACTAGGATGGATGGCAAAGTCCAGGTACAGTTTATGAGTCCATACGTGTGGAGGGGGGGTCCCCCCTTCCACTGTGACAGCCACTCCTCAGGGTATGCAGGCTCTGTATGGAAAGCAGATAGGAAAAACAAGGGGGGGGCGCCACTAAGTGTAGTATTAGTATGCAGTTTATAAGCAAAGGTAAGTTTTGCTCACAAGAGAATAGTAATCGCTTGTCATCAGTGATGCACAGGTACAGTGCAGCCCAACGTCCAGGTAAGGAGTCCCGCTGTCACGGATGGTGTGTGGTACATCATTACGGCATTCCCGGAAAGGAAATGCTGACGGGAAGTGGAGGAACCAACATGGAACGCATCTGTGGGTGGAAGTGACATCACCAAACAAGGCCAGTACTAGTGCAGCCAGGCTGCAGCAGACAGATTTACTAAAACTGGAGAGCGCAAAATCTGGTGCAGCTGTGCATGGTAGCCAATCAGCTTCCAACTTCAGCTTGTTCAATTAAGCTTTGACAATAAAACTGGAAGCTGATTGGTTTCTATGTAGAACTGAAGCAGATTTTGCATGCTCCTAATAAATAAAGCAATACCTATGTCTCTTCTGCAATAAGACAAACTTATCTGCCTCTGCCCAATCTTCTTTCAATTGTATACTGACATAGGAGTTACCGGTACATCATCACCTGGAGGCCAATGAAGACAGCCAAAAACCTGTCACTTGGGAAAAGCCAGGGAGAAGATATGATGCAATATGACTGCACAGCATTTAGAAGATGACACATAATCAAAAATTTTGGATACCTTATGCTTCAGGCCCATTGCAGTGTTAGAAAACTGAAATTTTGGATACCTTAGTGTTTTGCTTCAGGCCCATTGCTTTTACAGTGTTAGAAAACAAAAATAAACCGTCTCTCTCAACCTCCTATATGTCATTTGCATTCTTCTCCTTCTATCCTATCAGCTTGAAAATCAGACAGATATTGCCCCCAAACATTGAGAGACATATATAAACACATTAGTGAAAAAATCTAGGAAGCAGGTAAATCCTGTACTGGTCATTAAAACATACAATAAAATACTTTATGGGAAGAAAACGTGTCCCTAGGACACACACAGAAATTGCTTTTTGACACTTTAGAAGGATTAGAGGTATTGCAATTATACATTCTCTCCCTATCACAAGCGCGGCAGTCCTTAATCTAATTAGAATATGGAATGTAGTTAAAAACCTGCAATATATTGCCCTTTGTAAAGAACATTATGTATAGAGAAAATTACATAAATAACAATATTGTAACTAATTAGTGAAGTAAAGGATAACCCTGCTGGATGCTATAAGTGAATAAACTATACTCTGCAGTATTTGCATGTTTTATAACTGTTACAGACACAACCTGGACAGGGGCTTATGAAGGGGACTACAGGCTAGCCTCTTGCCTACTGACCATGGCCCTGACATCTGAGGGGGCTCTATTCTTTTGGCGGTGTGTGCCTGGGGGGGACCTTTGGAGTAGTTTACTTTGGATTCAAGTCCATGTCTCCCCAAAACACACAGCCTCTGAGAACTGGAGGACCAGGACACAGATTTGGGTCTCTGTGCCCAAACCAGCATTGACTGCTTCAAACCCCCCCCTTCCAAGACTCAGAGACTGTAAGAAGATGTTGATATAATCAGCCCAAAACAACCTGATGCCGAGGACTCTTGCTCTAATCTTTTTTTAAAGGTGTTATGTGTTTACTGTATCTCCCCCATTGTATGCCTCTTAGGTATGCATTTCCAATGTTAATGGAGTTAATTTAATTTCTGTCTGCCTTCTAGTCCTATTGGAGATTAGTATTATGTCCACTTTACCTTGTTACCAAACCATTGTGGGATGTTTATGTGTTTATGTGTAATATTTGTTTTATTGTTCATGTGGGGACTGCTCCTATTTATGAAGTGTATTTCTGTTCAATAAAGTAGTTCCAGTTTGTCATCTAATCTAGTATTTTCTAGTCTTGGGTGTGACCCTGGCTAAAATATCTTGGTCCTGTGTCCTAGCAGCAAGGAAGAAAATCTCTGATGGAATCACCCAATCGGGGGGACAGGCGTTCTGTCACACTAACCATGTTTAAAATATGTTCTAAAAAATTTGGAAATACTCATTATGTAATTGCTGGACTACCTAAATATGTAAGTGTAAACTTACATTTGATACCTATAACTTAGGTATTCTCTTTACTATATGTAGTGAAAAAAACTAGGGGCATTAGAAATGTCAATAGAATGAAGGGCATTAGCAAGTATTTCATACTTATCTTGGAGGTAGTATTCTTCACCCTATCAACAGTTGATAGCAAATAACAATGATCCCTCATTTTGGCCAGAACAATTCTATGCCTTGACAAGCTCTTCAACTGGAGTACCCGTAATAGTGTTTCATGGATGGCAGCTAAATCCCTTCAATTTGGTATTCAAAGGTAATTTTTAGTGGAACATGAAGTTATGCTGATAAAAAAAAATATCCAATGATGTGGAACTCCTCTCACAAATCTACAGTCAGGTCCATAAATATTGGGACATCTACACAATTCTAACATTTTTGGCTCTATACACCACCACAATGGATTTGAAATGAAACAAACAAGATGTGATTTAACTGCAGACTGTCAGCTTTAATTTGAGGGTATTTACATCCAAATCGGGTGAACGGTGTAGGAATTACAACACTTTGCGTATGTGCCTCCCACTTGTTAAGGGACCAAAAATAATGGGACAATTGGCTTCTCAGCTGTTCCATGGCCAGGTGTGTGTTATTCCCTCATTATCCCAATTACAATGAGCAGATAAAAGGTCCAGAGTTCATTTCAAGTGTGCTATTTGCATTTGGAATCTGTTGCTGTCAACTCTCAAGATGAGATCCAAAGAGCTGTCACTATCAGTGAAGCAAGCCATCATTAGGCTAAAAAAACAAAACAAACCCATCAG